GAAGAAAGAGAGGAAATAAAATTAAAAATAGACGAAAGAAATACGGAGACTTAAAAGATAAAGCATCGTTCAATTTCTTCCACCGAAAAGTTTCGCCTATCTCGATCAGCACCGCGTCTATAACTCGGGCCAGTTGCGGCGAACAGGCTGTATGCCGATGGCAGCGGCACGTGAAAAACGCGCGGTCCGTACGAGATAGCGATCCCGTCGTCAAGGGGTTAACCGGGACTCGGCCGACGCCCGTGCAGTACGCCGCGGAGGTTCACGCTTATCTGGAGGCGGGCAAAAATTAAGAACGGGATTTAAGAGAGCGTGCGTGCCAACGTCTACCTCGCGCACGTTACCTGCCCTCTCTCTGCGTGCAACCTAGCGGTCGTCCCGTGCTTACCACAGCCTCGATACGTTATCCGGCCGATCCGTTCCACTTGCTGCGACTTATTATTATCCGGAACTGGGTCGATCTTGATGCGTGCCGTTCACCTAGACTCGCTTACTTCGTTAACCCTTTCAGACTCGTCCACTGCTCCTGCGCCCGATCTGACTGCTGTGAAACCGACTAACCAAGAGTCACGAAGGGAAAGATTTGGTAGGGGAGATTCCGATCTCTCGAGGGATCGGTTAGAACGGATTTGTCGAGTTAGCGTGTCGACGAAATGAGAGAGCAACAGCGTCATCGGTCGAATTTATTGTTAAATAGCTAGCTTTTGTTATTGATTATCAATGGAGGTTGGAGGTTGGAGGCTGGAGGTACATAATAGATGACAAATAGCAGATGTGACACTTGGCTAAGGATCTTAGTGCCACAAGCCAAAAGATTGCGACATTGACACTAGATTTACGGAACCCGTCAATTTCACGAAAGGGTTGCTACAATTATACGATGGTAACAGATTTAGTTAACTTATATTTACAACTGTTAATATAATATATAATTGTTTTTAAATTAAACTAATCGTTAAAAGAAAAGGTACGTGGTTTCCTTTACCTGTCAATGTGACAGGTGTCCTTAGAAATAGGTATACAGATAGCCTCCTTAACACTAAACCTAGCGTTAAGTTGCAGGACATGATATATAAGGACCTAACCTTTTTATTTATTAATAAATATATGTACTCTTTTATTAGAAAGAAATCTGAGTACTGATACGACAGTCAGTCCATTGTGAAACATTGCAGTGTACACATATTCATTTAAAATTAATAAATACGCGATTGTCTAAGATTCAAATTACCCTGTGTACTTTGCTATTTAAATCCAATGCAGAGACTGCACCTGGTAATTTTACGAATCTGACGAGGGTCACAGAGTAATCTAACAAATAAATTTTTTAAATTTCTTTTGATGCCTCGAGAATTCGTCGAAATTCGTCGATGACGAGATAAATCCTCGAAATTTCATTTCACTGCATGATCGCTATTCGTCGAATATTTCCTTTTTCCGTGATTCTAACGATTCGCAAACTTATTCCTCAATAAATATGTTCATCATAACTTTACAACTTAATGCTTTGGATCTAGACAAGTGACAGGGTTTTGGTTCGTCGAATATTGACAGTGAACTTTAAAAAATGGCGTCTCCGCTGTAAAACGGAGAAAAAGAAGTGGGAAAATCGAGTTTCGGTCATTTTTACACATCGTCCAATCGCGATCCTTTATCTCCGAGATGGTATGATGAATCGGAGCATTAAGCGACTCTAAATTGAAGCGTTGACGCGAAATGAACGCGAGGGATTTATCTACATCTTCATCATTAGTTAGTAGCCGCCATCACGCTAGGAACGGGAGTAAATAACGCTTATCTCGATAATGCGGACTAAACTCGTAGCGCGTGTAAAGTCGTTGCTTTCAAACGATCTGCTAGGAACATTACAGAAGTTTGTCGTACATGCGTGCTCCGTGTACACTCCAGATCTAGTGATACAGTTTTCACGGTGAGCTCTCGGAATGATCGCCTCGAATCTGACTTTCTACGTGTTCCTGCGATAAATTGCACGCGCTGCTGGATACGTGTAGAACCAGCCTTCTGTTTTCTGGAAGGCATTCTCGGCACGGTAAATTGGCCTTTGTGCTAAGAACAACTCCTACGCTCCTTTTTCTTCGGGATATAAATCGCGACGCCTGCTTACCAACGTCGGACGCACCACGATCTAGACACGAGATAGAGATACGGTAACATTGATCAAACGTGAATAAAAATTTTTAAAATAATATATATATACAGATAGCCCTCCTATAACACGGTACATAGGTTCCTAGAAAATGCCGTGCTGTGTGAAACCGTATTGTATGAGACCCAGAGTCAGTACAAAATGGGGGGTTACGTTTCGAACATTTACTAAAAACAAATTTTTTTTAATTCTACATGAACAACTTAATTTTTATTAAAAATATAAATGCATGTACAACACGAAACAAAACAAAAATAAAAATATTATTTTAATTCAACTCAATTTTAATTTAATAAATTTATTCGTCATATTCATATAGAAGTACAATGTTGTACAAAGGTTTTTGCAATTTTCTTATCGTGTTAGAGCGAAATTGTGTTATAGGATGCCGTGTTGTAGGAGGGCTGCCTGTACTATCATTTACCACACCATAGTCTCTACAGTATGCTAATATATTTCGTTGACATAGAGCAAGGGAATTGTTCGTGTTTCGGTTAAACTTTAGTTAACACGTAGAAATTATTCTCTTTCAAGGTAGCATATGCAAACGTGTAACAATGCTGCGGGTGTCTGGTTAAACTTTAATTAAAATCACGAAATTATTCCTTTCTAACGTAGCATAAATAAAACGGAGTAGTCCCTCGTGTTTTAGGCGAGTTTTGGTTAATATTTATTCGATTAAACTTTAACGAAGCACTTTGATCAGATACTTCTCGGTGTTAGGTGTTTACTGTACATATCTAAGCGTGTTTGGTTTTCAATTATGTCTAGAATTAGACAGAAATGGGTTAGTTACAATTGAACTGGTGACTCTAGCTTTGTCTCTCCCTGCGTACAGTTAGAATACAGAAGACGTACTTTGCTGAGAATAGACTAAACGATAGTTATTTCTTTTTAGCCGTAATCCGAATAAGCTCGTTTATCGGTAGATATTTATTACTCGTAAAACTAGGTAATTTTAGGAAACGGTAAAAACCCGTATTAATGCAATTGATCCTGTTCGACCCAATCTCATTTCGAATTCGCTGCCAGTCCAGCGAAACAATAGCCAATCAATTCGCCCCTGGCCGAACCTTGATTCCTCGCGGAGTAACAGCATCTTCTACCAGCAATATCTACCCGGAGGCACTGTTGGAAGTTTGCCCTTCCATCGAACTCTGTATTCTTTTCGCGCTTTATGTGCTTTTCCCGCTGCCAGCCACCCCGCGAGTTCGGTTTCGCGCCAGAGGATTTGCGCGCGAGTGCCGTGAGGGAATATCGACGCGGAAGGATCAGCAGCTCCTCGTGTAACATCCAGACGGGTAGGAAATCCAGAGGAAGAGAAACGACGCGAGAGTGGGAAGCTCGACGTCGGAAGTCACTTATCTCTTCTCCAAATAACATTCCGTCTTATCTGCGCGTCGGTCTAACAACCACGCGGGACACGCTTTGCTCATGAGCTATTAAACTTCGTTATGACCTTGCCGGTGCTTCCACGTCGCTTTATGCGAGTCGTAAAATTTATCTAGGGCCGTGGGCCGCGCAGGATTTCGAATTGCGCGCGATCCAACCCTTGTTTACCACTGTAAACGCTGCCCCGAACGTCGTGAAAAGCACCTCGTTTCTCCTGCCTCGAATTTCTCCCCCGTCCTCCCGCCGACCCGGCAACTAGCAGAAACCTGAAACCGTAGAGGTGTAGAATGGGTGAGGAGGAATCGTAAAAGCCGAACTATCGCGATGATGGCTTCTCATGGAGATTCGATGGGGGTATCTACGCGTTTACAATATTGTTCGGCTTCTTTATGGAAACGCTCGGGCAATGAAAAGGATGGTCAACGCGGCGGAATTGGATAAGTATGATTTCTTTTCCGTGTTAGGGAGAGAAAATGGCGCGATAAACGAGGTCAACGGCACCGATTTATGGCGCTTAAACGGGAGCTCTGGGTAATAATTTGCTGATATCCTTCGCGGAAATAAAGGGCAAATAGATTTTCTCGTTTCGGTAGGCGGAAGAATGATAATTGGAAAGCGTCTGGCTTAAACAGCACGACCAGGCGTGCCATGCGGGGTGCAAATTTCCCATGAGCGCGTTTCATTATCGTATCACTCGTGGCACCGTGAGGCGAGTTTTTTTTATTCTAATTAGGCCAGGAATATTCTTGAGAGCGGTATGAATTGTTGCTACTATCGCGCGGCCTGCGAGAAATTTCACCCACCGTTTGATCTTTTTAGGGACGACGCGTTGGTTACAAGTTGAAAACGCCGCATTGTCTTCTTATCTTATTTCCCAGAGGTAATGCGGAGGTGCATTGCTGAAATAGCTCGTTCGTGCCTCCAGTTTCGTGTAATCTTCCGTTTTAATTATACAGCTTTCATTTCGCCAAACGCTATCTGCTAATATCTAATGTTGTTTTAAATATTTCTAGCTCGCGTACAGATTAGCGAATAGGAAAACGAGATGTGGCGCGATCAGTAGCGATTATAATTTAATATTTTTAAATACCGTCTCTGTAATTCAACGCGTCTTATCTCGAATTCTTCCAATTTTCAGGTATTTCGAGAAATACCTGCTGGGAAAAATTTCATCGTCTGTTAGGAAATAATGTCTAATCTTTTCAAGTGATCTGAGAGTAAAAGAATATCGGAAAGTGTAATAAATCTACAAAGCTTCGGTGAAAATCAAAGCCAGGAATATTCGAGACGATAGGAAAAATGACGAGAAATAATACTTACCTGGAGTCCCCCTCTTCTTCGGTCTCCGCTTTTTCTCCCCCCGAGAAGGGTCAACGCGAAGTATCAATAAAACACGCGGCGATCAATTAATTATATTTTATTATGTACATCGGTATCCCTGCTACTCGAATGCGTTGAGGTCGCTGAAGAACAGCCTCATCCTCCTTTTCAGCTCGTCCGCGTACCTGAGCGCGGACTCGTCGACCGTAACGTCCTCCATCAAAAGTTCACAGTCCAGGTGTCTCTCGTCGCAGACCCTGTGATGATGCTTCAAAACGTCTTCCGGGTCAAAGTGGTGGGCCCGTCTGGTCGAAGGATTCAACGTGGTCAGTGCGTAATGATTGTGCACCGTCAACGCGCGCCTCGTGGAGACGAAGCTCTTCACCGAGTCACCTTCCGGCGAGATGCAAGCCGTCCTGATCGTGTCCAGGTAGTCCAGGTCGGCCAGGAAATTCGTCGCGTTGTAATCGAGCGTGGCACGATCGGTTTGATTCCTAATTTGCAACTCTCGAAAGAAATACGCGTTTCTGACGGCGTACGAGGCAAAGTCCTTGAAGCTCCTGCCAAGCTTGATCCTCTCGTCCAGCAGCAATTCATACCAGTTCCTCCTCCTGGCCGGGACGATCGCCTCGTCGATGTCGATCGGCAGCACGAATTCCGATCGGTGAAGATTATCGTAGAAGCAGTGATTGTAGGGTATCAGCTCCATACGTCTCTTGATCCAGATGTCCTCGCTGAGGAACCGCCTCCTCGCGATCCTCTCGTTCGGCAGGTCGCCCGGTAGCGTGAGGTTGAACCATCTGATCACGTTGGATCGTTCGTACAGCCTGAGCACCCTTAGAACGTTCTCGTGCACGTTGAACACGTAGAAGTAGAAGAGCTCGGCGCCCAGTATGCGGTGCAGCTCGACGAACGCGACGATCTTGGACGAGATGTCCTCGTCGAAGTCCAGACCCTTGATGCACAGGGTGAACTGCCTGCGACGTTCCTCCGTCTCGTTCCTGTCCTCCCCGTTTATCGCTAAACTATGACTAGCATTCTGGTGGCAGGGCTCCAGGCCTACGTACACCTTGGACGGCTCGATAGCCGCGTCAGGTGGTAATTGACAGCCGACGAGGATCCCCGCGTAGCTGTCCACCGTTTCACCCCACTCGTCCAACCAAATCGTGGACACTAGCGCCTCCACGCTGACGGCTCTGCCTCGATCTTCCTCCTCGTACCTGTACGACCGGCAGAAGCAAAAATGCTCGATGAAACTACTGCGCTCGGCCAAGTGCAGAGACCAACTAGGGCCTCTTCTGCCCAGGGCTTTTTTACTCGTTCTTGTTACTCGATCGGCGGAAGCCTCGTTTCGATACACCGGATTTGCATAATCGTTGGAATTATGAAACGGCTGCATCTGTGTTGGCCGGTAATAAAGAAAGTTTGGCGAAACCGGGTAAGAAGTTAGATTAAAATGACTGCCCGCGGACGCCGAGCGTGGAACTCGTTTAGCCGTACCGAAGAACGAGTAGCGTCGTTAGCCAAATGAAAAGCAAAACTTGTTCTCCAAAGATATCGTTACATCGCCGCGATACGCTGACACGTTGTTACCCTACAAACTTCCAAACGAGAGAAATTCCCGAGGAGGGAGAAGGAAAAACGCGTTGGATGCAGCTGAATGGGGGGAGAAGGGAGCAGTCGAAGAGGGAGAGGGAGAAAGAAAGGAAGATAGAAAGAGAGACGTCATGGGGAATCGAAGAGGCGAATCCGTGCGGGGAAAATGTCTCACCAAACGGTGCAGAAAAGGCCAGAGGTCGGCAGAGGTCCACGTTTAACGCCAATCACCCTGAGGCTTGGGTAACCGGCCACTCTCAGGTCCAAGTGGGCGCTGTACAGGAAGAGCTGTCCGGGGATTGTCTCGAGCCACTTCGCGTCGGCTAACTTGAACGTATTTAACGTCGTTCCGTACGTTCCATTACCGTCGCACTCCTTGGAGGGTCTGTAATCGAGTGCCAATCTCCGCGCCCACGAGTAAGCCACGATGCTTCTTGTGCCCGGGGGTTCGCCACCTGGAAAATGTGTCAGGCAGATTGAGACCGTGATAGTCGCGTGACGCATGCTACGCTCTGCTCATTAACGCGGAAGCAGCCGCGCACGCTTTTCGGCTAATTAATTCGGAACGAGCTACGTACGCGATACGGCTTATTAAATGGAAAGCTACGTCGCGTGAAAGCCGAAGCCTACTCTCTTAAGCGTTTACAGCCAGGACAAATATCCCTCGTACGTAATTCGATTTCTCTTCTTGGATTATAGCCCAAACATTTCACGGACGTTTATTCCACCCACTCCTCTTCGATTTTAATGCCTCGTAATTAACGTGGAAATCGGAATTATTTATTTCCCACGAAATCGAAATTATGGCTGTATTTTTTAAGTATCTCGTGTATCGTTGAGCTAGGTTTTCTCTGTGACACTGATAAGAACAGCGTATATCAGACTACATTTTTGTCAAACTTGTCATCTTTGTAAATTCTAATTACAACCTATATATTCAGCGCTATGGTAGAATCTCATAACAGAATTAACCCTTTGACTACTGCGTGTCTGTTCTAAAGGTGCTTAGAAATCTTGCACTTGTGATACCATGGACACCTAAAGTTGCTCACAAGTCTCTTTTACTGTTAAATTTTAAGCATATACAGTAACAATTTAATGCAGAATACGGAGAAATAAATAACGTTGTTTTGATGTAATAGAATATAGTGTTTTTATTATTGTTTGAATAATTTCCCAGAAATGCATATCTAACGAAAGGTGTTGCCATTCTTGGTGTACATTGTAAATGGATTCCTACCGTATGATATGGTTACTGTGTTTTAAAGTCTGTCGTAGTCAAAGGGTTAATCGTATTCAATGAAGCTTATCTCATTATCGTCTATGTATACTACTAAATACGCTTCTGCTAATTTATTCCCTTCGATTATAAATTTGACATTCTGAAACCGAAAACATAGACCTCTGTGTTTACTCGTACACTCTTGGTCTTGGTTGGATCCAAAACTTGGGCCTCCGTTTTAGCTCTTTTCCGGAAACGATTTCCACGCTTCACCGATAATTAATCGTCGATATCGTTGGGTATCTGAGTAAACTTGGAGTCACCACGGTCATATATAGTGTCATCGTTCGGCTAGGAATGGAAAGGCGAACTAGAGACGCCGAGGATCCCCGACCGGACGGAAGTATTACGTCATCTAGCGAGGCCGGACGCCGTACATCTTGAATACGTTTACGTGTCAGTGGACGATCGTGCCGCGTCCGAATCGTTCTTCCCATAATTCCTTGGCAATTTCCTTAATCCATGTCTCAGGCTACGTCGAAACGCGTCACTGACCTCGGATGAGCGTCGGTTGGTTACATATACAGAATTTCAATTGCACCGTTCGTTAATTGGCCTCTAATGGCGAATGCTCTTCGGCCGGCTGTGTCTGTGGAAAACTCGTTTCACGCAAAAGTCACGAACGACCGGGAGTCACGACCATCCGCCATATTTTAATTTCTCCCGCTGCCACGATCCATTCGATCCAATCGACTCGATGGCGAAATATGTCATTCGCTCGTACGGGATGACACGTAAACGGAAAGTCACCGATTGACAGTTACTCCCGACTCTTCCTATTTCATCAGTCCCTGGCAAGGCTGGCGTTCATCGATCGTTAACGAATTCGACTTTCGAAATTTTATTTTGGTCCCCCTTGCAATTAATCGTTCAACTTCGAATCCTTAGTTTTTAAAAATTTCCATCGGTGTTCGAATGTGAATTCGACTGTTTAAAATTCCATTCAATTCCCTCGCGACTGGAAAATTATTCGTCCAAGTTCGTATTCGATTTTCGAAAGTTCCGTTCGATATAAAAATTGAAATCGGGTTTACAGAGTCCTCGTTCCATCTCAACAGGAATTAAAAATTACCCTCTAAATTCCATCCTAATTTTCAAAAGTGGTATTCGACGTAAAAATTCGAATTCCACTTTCGAAGCTTGAATCAGACTTCGGAATACAATTTCTACTTTGAAGAATATCGTTTCTCGGCTCAACGTCCACCCACATCCTGCCAAGACTTCAACCTACCTTCTGCCTAACCCAAAGTAACCTACTTCCACGAACAGTCTCGAACATTCGGACCTCTGCTTGCTGATCGCTATCTCGCAAGAATAACCCTGCGACACCGTACCGAGAACGTACATCCACTCCGATCATTGGGAAATTATCCTTCCGTTAATACCAGACTCGCGAGTCCCTGGAGCTCCATAGAAGGCGCGTTTATAGTCGATATTTAATTCCGTTCTTGCAACTCTACCAAGCTAGAGTCTGGCCACGGACCTCCGCTGCACGTGCACACATAAAATATCCATTTTCCGTTAATCCTCGAATTAAAGCGGCCTCGTCGACCAATTAAATCCTTGCCCCTCGGGCAGCGATCAGCCAGGTCGTCTGGCCGTTCTCTCTGCCGTGTAAAACAATTTGTTCCGTTCGAGCTGGTCGCCGATATCGCGGCCGATGCATCCTGCCGTGTACCGTCGTTAAAAGTTGTGTCTACGCTTGACCCAACGACCGCGTATTACGCTCAGATGCCGCGTGCGATCCGCTCTGCCCTTTAGCCGGCGTCCGGCTTCCTCCTTTCCCTCCCGGCCGCGCCACGCTTCGCCAGCTTTGCGAGAAAGCGATCTCTGGTACACGGGATCGGACGGAGATACCGCGTCGTTGAAAAACCGTAACGGAAAGACCTCCAGTTCGCGTTTTCCGGCCGATCGCCCTGTGAATCGGATAGCGCGGCCAAAGGGAAACCGAAGGGAACGCGAAGGGCTTGGGAAGCCAGAGGCGCAGCAGTCGTGGCAATCCGTGGATGAATCGAGCTGTAAATTACGTCACCTAATGAAGTCGCTACCGCCAAGGAACCGTGTAAAGATTTGTGTCCACGATAAGCCAGTGTCACCGCTCCGCGGTTGATTTACGACCGCACTGGCCCGGCTTTTTGCACGCCATTCCGCTCGAGACTCGATTTCGACGCTTTTCTCCGCTGATTATCTCGAGTCGGCTCTTGGCTGGATAGAGTGGATCGTGATTTCCAGCGGCTATCAGTCCGAGTTTCGTGCGATCTCCTTGCAATTTCTGTAAAAGCCACCACGAATTTTCTTCCACCAATTATTAGCCATTATTCGCAAATAATTGTAATATCGAGCTGATCGGAACGTAAAAATAATTTCAATGTTGTTGCAATAAAATAATAATTATCCTGCTGTAAACAAAAAATATTTTCGTCAAGTATACTGTACATTTCACGGTACTTGGCTGGATAGAGTGGATCGTGATTTTCAGCGGTTATCAGTTTCCAGGAGTTTTGTGCAATCTCGTTGCAATCTATGTAAAAGCCTCGACGAATTTTCTTCGTGCAATTATTAGCCATTATTCGCAAATAATTGTAATATGGAATTAATCAGGACGTAAAAATAATTTCGATATTGTTGAAATAAAATAGCAATCATCCTGCTCTAAAGAAAAAATATTTTCGTCAAGCACACTGTACATTTCACCGGTTTTTGGCAGAAGTTATCAGTCCGAGTTTCGTGCGATTTCGTTGCAATTTCTGTAAACACCATTGGCTTCGTAAAATTATTAGCTATTCTTCGCAAATAATTGTAATATCGAACTGATCGGAACGTGAAATAATTTCGATATCATTGGAATAAAATAGTAATCATCCTGCTCCAAAGAAAAAGTATTTTCGTCAAATACGCTGTACATTTCGCTATTTCAATTTGCAATAAGTATACCCGGTTGGGAAGATCATACAATAATATGAGAATCCGACGCTATTGAAGACAGGTTTAAGAGTTTAAAGCTAATCAAACATCGTTTCTATGCTAGTAAATTAGAATAGAATCGGAGTTGATTAGACTGGGAGTTTATTTGAGATGTAAACAAGAAGTTTAGCGCGTCACGGTTGGAAAAAGCAGAGAGATGCTCATTGTTCAGCTACATTGGCCACGATGTGTAACGTTGAATTTACGAGCAACTTCGCGGAGATCCCTCTCACTCGAGCGCGTTTGCTACGAAGTGTACGATTTACATGCAATTGCTGGCCCAACAACTTATTCAAAGGGGAATCTAACGAGTTGTTGGAGGAGGAACGGCCGGCTCGTTAGAATTGACGCGATTAAGCGTAATCGTTCGAACTATGAATTAATGGTCGGCCGTAGGAACGCGCGGAATTTTCCTATTCTTTGTCGGCTAGATCCGACGATGGGAAAGTATTCGCTCGGTAGGAAATAGCGCGAACAGTAAAACACAAATCTCAGCTAAACTCGGAACAGAGGCCGGCTATCTCGCCACGTGGGAATTACTCCGTGCGACTGCGGGGCCTTCTTCTTGTCGCGTATCAATCGCTCTGTCAGCGAAAGCACTCCCTAGCCTTTCGTCGCTTTCACTTTCATTCGCCGCTCTTTTCCCCAGATTCCCTCACCGAGCAATGCCTTTCCGCCCAATTACCACTGCTAGTAACAAAAATTTACGATTTCATAAAGCCCGCGAGTAATTACACCGTAACGCGATTTGTCATCGCGTAAACGTACCTCCACGGTGAATTTATCGTGCAAGAAGAACATCGTTTATGCGAAATGTATTCGTAGACATTACGTTGGACAGTTGATGCCGGAAAGTGTCTCGAGGCGCTCGTGTCTTTGTACCTATCGAAGACGAGTCAGCTTTTGACGCAAAGCTTACAGACTCGTTCCTTTGCTCTTTGAGAACGAGCGTTGTAAAAGACGCGCGATGCTTTTTATCGAGATAATACTCGAGTGCCACGTATATCATCTTCAGATCGTAAACTCTGTTTTTAGATCGCTCGGGGAAAATTTCGGTATTAATCGCGTTATTTTTGTTTCAATATTCTTGTTATTTATATTCGTATGATTTTTCGACCGATATTTTCGTGTTTAAAAAATTGTTAAAATGATTATAAACGCGTGCAAAATGTGCAAATTAATCGTGAAATGTCCATCATCGAGATGGAGTACTTTGCGAGAGTGTAAAGAGAGCTTCATCATTTCTATGGTACCCGATATCGAATGTTATCCCCAGGCTGTTATTCCGATCCGACTAGGAATTGTTTGTTCCGGTGGAAGTGCGGGGAAGAAAGTTGTATCGGCGTTTGACGGGCACGCAGGGCTTATGAAATTTACGACAGCTTTTGAAAGCCGGCGATCAGCCCGTCAGAAAACTTATAAATCAGCCGGTGGTGGCAGACCGGGGTACTTGCACTTTAGACAGCTTTGATATGCAAATACGCAGATATAGTAGAAGATAAAAGTTCGAGATTTGCATATTTAAAGAAGCTGTTATCGATGATCTTTGACTCAGAGGCGCTTTCATAGGAGGGAAATAAATTCGAGGCTCTCGCAGGGGTATTCACTTTGCTGCGTGCCTCGTGAAATATCGCTTCGGAAACAAGGCAAAACGCGTGTTCCTCGCTTGGATAACGTATTCCAATACGACATACGCGACGCTTTAATTAGACATCTGCCGTCTACCAGCTCATTTTCGAGCGTATTTTTATTTGTCTAAGCACACGCTTCTCCATAAATTACACAAACCACGCTCGTAAAAGTAGAAACAAGAATGGAAATAAAAATGCAACGACACGGTACCAGCGTGGCGGTATCAATTATCCGGGTAAAAATTCGCAAACTATGACGCGATAAATTACAAACCAGCGGAAAACGAACGTCCGAAGCACCAAAGCCGGATACGTATCTCTCGACCAGTCCGTATCGATCGATATCCAGGTGTGTCTCCGACAAGAATCGCGTAAAAATGCAGAATCGGCGGCGTCTAATCACCTAGCCCGAGAGACGAAGGCGCGGAGAAAGGAAATGAAAGATAGGAAAGAAGCGGGCATTGTTAGGTGGCAAAGGCGCGCGTTAGTGGGTACGGGTTGCGAACCGTTCAGCGATAACGAAAGGGCAAGGGTCGCGCGCTGCTGGAGGCGAAGGAGCGCGCGGCAACGGAGAAAATTGCTTACCAGGCGTGGGAGGAGGATCCGCCGGTGGATCCGGGAGTTGCGGCGGCGAATCGAGCAGAGTCAACACGCACAACGCGGTGACCAGCACGGCGACTAGGCCCGCTCTGCATAGCCTCCTGGTGCCCGCGACCGACATATTTGCTCGGGTGCTGCGGCCGAGCGGAGCTGGCGCTCGACTTTCGATCACCGCGGCAGGCTCGAAACGTTCTCGAACCGATCCATGTCCCACCGGCGATTTGCAATTCAATTCTCAGGGATTCCAGGCCGTGGAATCCGCCGTGGAGAGATCAAAGTTCGTACGGAACGAAAGACTAGTCCTCGCCCTCGACGAGGCTATACGGCACGATGACGGGGATCGAGCTGAGCGACTGCTGTCATTCTTCCTCGTTCACCATCTCCGATCGATCGTCCCAGCCGTGCCGTGGAAGCGTGGGCCGGTTCAGGTTTCGAAACTCGTAGGACGTAGAAACGGTCGTGGAAATGGAATCGATCCGCGTCGGAGTGACGCATTCCCGGACGCTCGCCTCGAATTCGCGGCGGCGGCGGCGGCGGCGGCGGCAACGACGGCGGAGCGGATCGATCAGCGGGATCAGGCTTTTCTGGTTCCCCCGACGCGCTGTTTTGCATAACACGCTCCGCTACACTTTCATCGCTCTTAACGCTCCTCCACGCTGGTCTAATGATCTGCCAGAGGAGCCGCGCGACATATATACGCGGCCGGCCGCGGACTGGTTCACTGGAATCGCGGAAATCTGGATTTATAGGATGCGGTGGCCGCTTTAAACGCGATCTTGGCGTGCGTAGCGGGCATTCGACGCAGAGATTGAAAGTTGGCACGCGATTCGCCTCTAACGACGCCCCTTGCCCGACGAGCCACGAATTTTCACTCCCGATCTAACGCCGAAACTCGCGTTATCGTCCCGTCTCGCCGTGAAACCTGGTCTTCGATGTCGTTGACCGATAAAATCCAACCTGTCCTGCCCTCGGAATCATCGAACGCATCAGCGATCATCGCGCGGAAGCGTCTTCGAGGATGATCCTTGTCGTTCGTCGACAGATCGACGGACCGGTACCCGCGAGCGAGACACGGTGGCAGCCTGTTTAACAGTCGCGTCCGGCGTGTGGGTTCCAAGACGAGCACACGAATCTATCTTCCCGAGTCGCGTAAAAACCGGCGTGGAAGCAGCTCGACCTCCCACGCGACGCTCCCGCTTCTTCGTAGGCCGCTGGACCATGTATGGTCGCGCTGCTAGCCCTTCCAGTTCGACTCCCGGGATCCTCGATAATCTAATTAACCTGGTATCTCTGTCTCTTTAACCGTTTTTTCCGCGCCACCGTTTCTTCTGCATCCCGTCAATCCTGCTCCCGATCGGCCCGTACGCTTTGCTCGCCTTTTTCCTCTCCCAGCAGCCCCCACCCTCTCTCGATCTGCTCTATCTTCACCGGCTGTTTTCCTTTTTTTCCACGTCGCTCGTTCACCCTTCTACTATTAGTCCCGCTCGATCGGCATCCGTCGATCCAGCCAAAGTCGTTATCCAACAGTGTCGTCGACGACCACGACGACGTCGCGGTGTTCTCGTCCTCGTCAGGCTAGCGTGACCATTCCGAATTCATTCGCCATCGCGTTCGGTTTCGCCTCGGCACGCTGAACGTGGAACGATGCCCGCGGTGATGAGATTGCGTTTCTTTGTCGCGCGATCCAGGTCCTCGAGTACCGAGCGCTCGCTGTTAATTCGAACCGTGAGAACCGATCGAGATCGACCGACGTTTACGACCTACGAATAAACCGTATCCGTATCCCCGGACAGGCTCACTCCCGCGTGTATCCGGATCAGTCTCTTAGGCTTAGTTAACGAAGCATTAGGCGATTAAGTGGCTCGTAATATTCGCGTTTCCTCTTGGTCACTGGACGAGGGAATCTCGTTTTATCGAACGTCTCTTCTCGCGATCAGCCCGGCGCGCAAGCACGATGTCGATGGATAGAATAACGTCGCTTCCGCTCCCCGTAGTCTAATCGTCCGATCGGCGTAGCCTCGCGACACGGAACCGAACCAGGACTCGTAAAACCTTTTTATTTTCTATCCCCGATCACGATCATCGAACGTTGGCCTGACAGCCGGAGCGAGCGACCGAGGGAAACGTATCGTCTACCGGAGACGAAAGCACGGACAGGGAGAACTCGTCGAACTTCTGTCCTCTCGAAAAATCCAACTTCCAGCTCTCCGGAACTTCTCCTTCCTCCTATCAACCAGTCGTCATAAGTATTCCTTCTCCGTCTGCTGGTCTAACACTCGTCTCGCATGGCGGCTGCAACAAAGTCAGAACTGGTCCCGATCCTTGGCTCCTTCGCGATCCATGGTTAACCGGAGCTTAACGCTCGAATTAATCCCTTATTAATTCGCATGCACAAACGAGTCGGTACCCCGAGCATCCACGTGTAATCACGAATTATATCGTTCCACGATCGAATTCCTTCCTCGCGATCTCCGTAGCAACCACACCTCTATCTACATCCTTCGGCCGACGAATTAACACGGCCGAGGATCCTCGATAATCACGTCTATTTATAACCGCGCCAGTCTCTCCACCGTTCCCCCTATAATCTCTCCGTACCACGTCCCATCGAGACAATCGTCCACGTCTATCCCAGGCCACCTCGTTCCGCGCGAGACTGGCGAAAAAGGCGCGCGATGGCCCCGGCCCCCGAGGATCCAGGCTTCCGGCCAGCTGGCAGCCAGCGGTCGGCGAAAACACGTGGCCCGGTGGCCCGGTCCCGTCACCAAAACACAGCCGGTTCCCGTGGAACGTTCGTGGCGCACGTGGTCGCCGGATCGACCGAGCGGATTGGTGCAATCTCGCCTGCGCGAGAGTCCGGAGCGTACTGCGTTCGAGCGGGAGGTGAACGCGCCACCAGAGCCAGCTCCAGTCCCGACGACTTTGGACCCGTTGCCTTAGCGTGCCTCGCCAATGCGCCTTGGCTTGCCCCATCCCTACTCGCCTCGCCTCGCCTCGCTACGACCTAGCTCTTCCTGGCCGTCGTCGCTCGCCTCTGCTTAGCTACTCTGTTCTGCTTCTCTTCGAGGCCGGATAGTTAGTTGACTTTACCTTGTCGCAGCCTTGCGAACCACGCCGCGTCTCCTTCGCTTCTGTTTTCTTTTCATATTCGCTCCCGCCGCGGCTGCACGCGCCTCCAGTCCGCTCCGTCGCTGCTTTCGCGCCTCGCGTCCCGACCACGCGTTTCCTGCTCGCCTGTGCTTCGGGATCCGAGCTTCGCTGCTGCGAGTCCGAGGTTTGGTAGAGAAGAGGTTGCCAATTTCAAAACCATTCCGGTTTCCCAGATTTTTCGTCGCTCACGAATATCGGTACGCGCAGTCATTGAGCAGCGAGGACTGCGTACTTTGGGGAAATTTAAATTCGAGTATGGATATATTCGAGGTCTTTTCCCATAATTGGAGAGTTGCGTCGAGGTATCAGTTTGCTCGAGTGTCGATGCTCGTGCCGAGAAGTGCACGCGTATTTGGAAGACAGGGAAATTCTGGTTGGGAGATCGAGATAGATCGATGAAGTCGTAGTCGGTGAAGTCGAGGAGGTACAGGTGCCTACGCGGTGATTAAATCACGATTGCGTCGAAGGCACTTCGATTGATCGATGAAGTTGTATCCAATAGCGAAGTTCGAGCTAAAGTATCGCGTATTCGGAAAGTAGGAAAATTGGAGGAGTTATGCCAAATCATTCAGCGTAAGTATCGAATCTTTTGTTTGGATCTAGTCGAGCCGAGTATCTATAATTGTCTCGAGAACTTTGTATACCTTGTTCATTTCTAGAGAATATAAAAATTCGAAATATATTCGAACTCTGACGGATACCTTAATGATTTCTCAAGTCCGTTATCAGCATTCTGAATATTTTCTATGACCATCTTTCCCTGTTTCTTCGTACCCTCAAAAATTTGAATTAAAGAAGATATACGTAAATATTTCTATCGAATTCTTATTTATTTATATAAATTTTACGTCAGTTTCCAATTCCTTCGTACTTTCGCGTCCTTGAAAAAATCCTAGATCGAACCTTCTAGAGCAAGGATAGCAAATTTCGTGATATATACGATCATTTCCTAAAATTATTTCCTCGACACAGGGGAAGGGAGAATTAAATGAACGTGACAGTTTACTAATACGTTTGCACCTTGAAATCGTCTATTGTCGACTATAATGGAGCAAGGATCGCCTCGAGATCGACTGGTCGGCCATTTCTTTATGTCCCAGAGGGTCGTAGAGGGGACTACCACCAAAAAGCCGCGATCCATAGCTCAAAAATACGGAACAGATCGGTGAATTTCGTAACACGGTCTCCGATTCGCCGTGTACGGTTAATCGCTCGAGGTTTTTCTCATCGGCAAACAAACCAGCGGCGTTTTTCCCCGGTGTCCCTGGTGATCGACGATACCTTTCAGATTGCGGCACGTTCTTTCCCCTCTTCCACTCGATAGCTTAACGTCTCTTTTTTCCGGCGTCTCGCCGACCACCGTGAAGCATCCGCCACTTGTTGTACTTGTCAAAGCGTATTGCACGTTGACCGATGGCAGCTGCGTCGGCAGGCCGCGCAGCGGGTTCGTTTAAACCGTGCTGACTCGAACCACGCGCGGTGCTCGTTTCGAAACTTCCCTGTCCCCGGAAATTGCGTGGAAGTCGCTTCTCGCTGTAACCGTATCCTCGTGCCGAGACAGAGCCGGCGCGAATAGAACGTTTCATTACAGCGATCGTACAGCGTCGGATGGCAACGAGGGAGTTGATGCGCAGGCAAATGAAATTCGTAGGTGCAAACGTTTCGTACCGCGGCTGCCGCTTAATGTTTGCTCTGCGAAAGAGACTGATGACTGCAAGAACGATTCGAGACGGTTGTCTGTGAGCAGCGTAATTATTCCGGGGCTACCCGGAGATGCGAGTCGTGTTTCAAGGGCACGGAAATCGTAGTAACCACCATTACGATTTAAGTCGCGGGAATTATATATTTCACGCGTACTTGGATTTCGTAGCTTTCCTGTTTTCAGCCGGTAATGCGTGCGAATTTGTACGCGAAACTAGGTGGACAGCGGGGAACATCGAGACTCGATAAATTCGCGTGTAATTACCGCGAATCGTGGTCGGAATGATATATTTCTCTCGGGCGATCTCGGTTCGATATCTGTCCGAACAAGTCGGATCGCGAAATTACTCCTTAAGATGGATATCGCGATAATGAAAGGCACGCTGGCCTTGAGAAAAATCGTTTCGCTCACCCGTTATCGTTCATGGGCGTACCCGCGACTTTGACTCACCGCGCACTGCGCAGACGGGCGACGTTGCGCGCGAGATTCGAGCGAAAGCGAGTGGTAATTAATGGAACGGGAGTGTAATTGTGGAAACGGGGAATCGCGCAGCTGGCACGGTTCCGTTTTCCATTAAAAGAAAGCATAACGGGGGACGATTTCCCGGATATCTGCCGTTTCTCGAGCACTCGCCTCTCGTACGTGCCTCGGGACGATCGTAATCACGGACGGATTCGATCGTGCTTTCGAACAGCTGAGGAATTACCGGCGGGCAGCCAGTGTCGGGAAATGAAAGGGCGTGATGCATAAGTCATGAAACGGTAACAGGCGAAATCAATCAGAAGCGTGGAATCGATTTCCCTGTTCGCAATTACACGCCGGCCAGTAGATAACGTCTGCAAAGGTCAGACAGCGCTGGCTACGGATCGGACGGAGCCTGGCTTAGGCCGATCTCGCTGGTACACTCGCGTGGCTTAGCTATGTTAGGGCAAAGGTTTACGACACGCTCGTGAAACACGGACGTTTTTTTACTCCGGACATTCAGCGTTTACAATTAGCGCCGGTTTAGTTACGTAGAGTGCATTCTGGCGTGGATGGCCGAGCCTTTATTGTTTCGAGTTTTTAGGATTTCGTTTCCACCGTTCATTCCGCTGGCACGAAGAACCTTTCGAAAGGGTAATAGAAAGCAATTACATAGGAATTCTAAGACCGGCGCGTTAAAGTTAATGATCGGGATTTGAAACGCGAATTGCTATTAGAATCGTTGTCTATTAAGCGCGAGATCGATAT